CCATGCCTCTTCTGCGTCCCTGCTTTTTGGGTCCAGTACCACACACTCCATGGCATGTGGAAATGAGTTTGTAGTACTGCTTTCATTTGCAGAGACGCTTTTCCTCAGTTTTTACAGTTTTGACATGTGATACCAGATGGCTCTTAACATGCACTACTAGAGTGGATCATGAACTTCAGAAAATCCTTCATGGCTGCCGAGTGGCACAGGGGATGTTTCCCGAGGCGACAAAATGCATCCAAGTGTAAAAATGAGTTTCGGAAACATCTGACACAAAGAATAACAACACTACAGAATAAGATCCTTTATCTCTCTCTCTCTCTTCCTTCTTGTCTCTTTGCCTGCGCAATCAGGAGTATTGTGCAACGAAAATGTTTAAAGTACATGGGATGAACCATAAAATTGTTATTGTTACTGACAAAAAAAAAAACAGGATAATATTTACAATGGTTAAAGTGTCAGGAGTGATTTGTGATAGAAGGGTGTCAGCTAAGGTGAAGGGAAAAGTTTACAGAACAGTTGTGAGACCAGCCATTATGTACGGTTTCGAGACACTAGCAATTGGGAAAAGACAGGAGGCAGAGTTCGAGGTGGCTGAGTTAAATATCCTGAGATTCTCCTTCGGAGTGAAAAGGATGGACAGGATCAGAAATGAGGTCATCAGAGGGACAACTCAGACAGGAATGTTTGGAGAAAAAGTGAGAGAGGCCAGACTGAGATGGTTTGGACATCTACAGAGGAGGGACAGTGGATACATTGGTAGGAGAATGTTACAGATGGAGCTACCAGGTAGGAGACAGAGAGGAAGGCCAAAGAGGAGATTCATGGATACCGTGAGGGAAGACATGCAGGTAGTTGGAGTCATAGTAGAGGATGCAGAGAACAGGGAAAGATGGAAATTAATGACTCGCTGTGGCAACCCCTGAAAAGGGACAAGCCGAAAGGAGAAGAAGAAGAAGTATTGCTGTTTTACATTGCAATTATCGTATTACGAGTGCTGTCACAGGCTCCTCCATGTATTCTTCGTAACGACATTAGTATTTGTTGTCAGACTGACGGACGGTCCGTCAGTCACTGTTTCCGTCAGTATTTCAGGCCAACCCACATGGGCCCAGTCCATTCCTCATTTGCGACTGCCAAGCAGTGTTAAGAGTGTAATTACCACGTCACACACAGGTGCCACTAAATAAAGAAAAAAGGTCAAATAAAAACACACACACACTCACACACACACGTCAAAAACACACTTAAAGGTCATGAAAATGATTTGAGATTTCGTAATTTGATGACGCAACCACCTTAATTAAAAACTATTATCTGTACCGCTATCGATATTGGTGGCTTGATATGGGATCGATATCAAAATGTGCAGTCTCGCAAACCACTATAGGGCAGGTTAAATTTTCCTGACTGCAGCTAAACAAAGTTCCAGAAGAAACTTAAACAGAACAAACAAAATTAGGATTCATTACTAACCCTGTTTAGTTAAGTCTGAGCGTGTGTGTGTGTGTGTGTGTGTGTGTGTGTGTGTGTGTGTGTGTCTATAT